CTTCAAATCGGCAAGGTGTTTTTGAATGTTGATACATGTTTGTTTGGATTTACTTAAAACTGAATGAAAATCGTCATCAGCAATAAACCTACAAAAATCTGACCGGCACCACCGGTCTTGCCCAGATAACAAACCGCTCCTGCAAAAAACCAAAGCCCTGACTTTAGCTATCACATTCAGAAATCCTATTTGCCCGCAACCATCGTTGGTTTCCGAGCGTTTTAAACGACCAGAACATATTGGGTAGAGTTCTGAGATTGGATGGAAGGTTACTTTGCCATGAAAACTCAGCTTGGTTGTGACACTAAGCGTAACGATCATCATAAATATTTTTGCTTCATCCTGAGGAAAGAAAAATGTATGAATGGAATGTATAGCTAAAGGCTTTATCCCAAGCCTAATTGTCTGTTGTTTGAAACTCACTAACATTTCAGTGGCGTGTTCCAGTTATTAAAAGTCAATTTTAGTGACATGTCAGTCACCATTTGCCGTCATTTTTTGGCAAAGAAAAACGGCTAACTTCGCAGATTATTGCATCATAACCCTAAAATGGTTTGCAAATGTAAGAAATCCTGTTAGATGCTCTCTCATTGAGGAATATATGAACGGAATTTTGTTTTTCATTTTGTACATTTCTTTGATGAAATTGGAGAAATGGCCTAGTAGTAGTTGGAGGCCACTGCTCACGTTGCAATAAGGTGAGACTGATTCCTATACAAAAACATTGTATGAGTATTATATCTTCTCTACACCGTCATTTCTCAATTCCGATGCAGGTGATTGGTGGGTGCTGTGGTGTGCTTTGCTCCTTCTTTCCTACCAAACATCTAACGTCTTGATTTGCCATAGTTATACCTGGTTGGATACTTTATATTCTCTCATCTCAACAACATCGACAGTGGTTCTTTTTCGTTCAGCCAGCCTTGAAGGTGTGCTAGAATTGAAGCTGACGCTTCTAGCAGTTTCTCAGTCACATTCCTGATTCCAGAGCGTCGATACGAGCGCCTTGCTGTGGTCAGCGGTGCTAAATCTAGAGATACTGTTTGAGCGACACACAGCAAAAGATTTCAATAAAATTATGTTTTTTAAAATTTTAACAAGTGATCATGAAGTTAATCTCATTCATTAATTTCCGAATTTTACTCCCCCCCGAATGGTCTCAGATCGTAAAATTCCTATTTGCATTATTTGGGAATTATCTGTCTCATTTAAAGGAAAACAATCACAAACCCCCCAAAACAAATCCCATAGAAAAGAAATCAACGCCAAAAGACTTCACAGAGTATCTTTAATCCGTGATTGAAAAGTGTTGCTGTGTACCGACTGGCCTTTTATTCCTCCCCGGAATGGCAGCGTGCCCCTGAAGTTTGACACTCGTGACGTCACAGCAAAGACCTGTAGTTCTATTTATAACCTCTTTGGGTAAAAAAAAGAAAGAAAGAAAGCTGCAATTCCTATTTGAGAT